CATTAGCGGTACAGCCTGGAGTAACCACCTCACAGTCCATCTACAGTGCATGGACCTGGTGTCACACCAGGCTGTCCCCGAAGGGCCCCTGCTGTCACCAGCCACAGAAACAGGGTAGAGAAAACTCAGCTTAGCAGCATTTCACCTGGCAAGAACCGCTTGGGATCCGCCTTCTGTGGTCCCTGTCCTCACTTTCCTGCCGCTTGGCTGTGAGCTCAGCCTGGTGTGTCTGCGCCTGTCTGCGGGACTGATAGCTGGGCACAAGATGGGAAACTGAGGCTAGGTCTACATGGTGGGTTTTCATTACTGGATTGTGAGGGGAGCAGCCATATCACTGCTGCACCCATGGGGGGTGTTTGGCCCAAACGTCGGTACAAAGGAGGCCATGTGAGGTGTCAAACAAAAGCTCACTTTCTGCTGGTTCTGTATCTGCTCTTCATACATCGCTATAATGCCTGTGTGTGCAGTTATGCATATGGACGCTGTGTGGAGACTGGAAGTTTCTCTGTATGTGGTTGAGCAATGGACCAGGAATGTTTGCCCATGGCCATGCTAATGAGCAAAGCTCCAGGGAACAATGGGCCTCAGGAGGCCAAAGACATCCCTGGCCACTGGCCACATGACTCCCTCCAGCTTGGAAGAAGCCAGGGGGGTATAAATAGGCCATGTGGCCAACTCCACCTTGGTGCTCAGCTCAGCCCTTCATCCCAGAGGCAGCGGTGCAGGGATCGACGAGCTGGGAAGACCTGTGAACCCATCCTGATCCTAGGATGTTCACCAAAGACTTTTAAGCCAGCAGCTGTAACATCTCTGCTAGAGCCTGCATCGAGGACTGGGAGAGTCGATGCACGTAACGTAGGATACTTTAGCAACCTCACTCTCAGGCTTTTCTTTTTTGTAGTAATAAACCTTTAGATGTTGGATGCTAAAGGATTGGCCCAGTGTGATTTGTGGGTAAGGTCCAAAGGGTAAGGTCCAGGGATCTGTGGCTGGTTTCTTGGAACCGGACAGGACTTGTTCGGGGTAGGTGGGATTGGGTGCTAGGACCCCCCACCTGTGTATGAGGCCCGGGGCCATCTGGGGCACGGATATTGCTGGGGTGTCGGAGGGGTTTTGCTCGGGAGGCTTCAGGCAGGCAGCTGAAGCTCTCTGTGGGACTGGTTTGTGGCCTGTTTGGAGAGGTCGCCAGTCTGGGGGCTGTAAGGAGCCCCAAATTTGAACCATTTGCCCTGAACAGACGCCCTCAGCTGTGCCCAGAGCCGGCCCGGTCCGTCACAGGTACCTAGGGGGTCCTGCAGGGGTCAGAGCGGAGCGCGTTCTGGCCCACACACGCACACATGGGCTGGAGAAAGGAGCAAACAGCAAGGTGGCATCATTCGCAGAAGATACAAACTCGTTAAGTCCCGAGCAGACTGCGAAGAGCTTCCAAAGGGTCGTGCAAACCCGCGAGAGCGGGGCACCAAGCAGCAGATGAAATTCGATGCTGTGAAATGCTCAGCAACGCCCACGGGAAACATCGTCCCAGTGCCGGGCTCTGACGTAGCTGTGAGCACTCCTGCGAGAGACCAGGCACCGCGGGGCACTGTCTAGAAACGCAACCTGCCGCAGCCGAGAAGCAATGAATAGCGGGACGGGCCAGTAGGGAAGGGGCAGCTAAGACGTGAGGGCCGATCGCCCGTCCGTCACGCCGCGGACGCCCACAGCCCACGGGAAACATCGTCCCAGTGCCGGGCTCTGACGTAGCTGTGAGCACTCCTGCGAGAGACCAGGCACCGCGGGGCACTGTCTAGAAACGCAACCTGCCGCAGCCGAGAAGCAATGAATAGCGGGACGGGCCAGTAGGGAAGGGGCAGCTAAGACGTGAGGGCCGATCGCCCGTCCGTCACGCCGCGGACGCCCACAGCGCGACTCCCGCCTGCCCGCGCGGGCGCCCCCTCTGCAGACAGACC